TGTCACTAGTCATGATCTATGATGCACATACATGGACACGGCGACACGGACACGACACGACACGGACACGGGACACGTCAGTTATTGAAAATATAGGACACGGACACGGGAATACCTTCACTGCCAAAGAGAAATAAAAATGAGAATATTCGATGAAGGGTATTAAATCCAGTCGTTGATTTGGTGTTGTGGATAGAAAGTAAGAAATTTAGTTTAAATCTCGCCAAAATAAGAAATTATATTTTAAAAATTTATAAAATATTTAAGATACGCGTGTCCATTTTGTTTTTAATATTTTTTTAATCGGACACGTTCTCAGCGTGTCCGACACGTGCCGGAGGAGTGTCGGATGAGTGTCGTGTCGGACACTGCACGCCTCTTTGAGGAGAAGTGTCGGTGCATCATAGGGTGTTGTGGATATGAAATAAGAAATTTAGTTTAAATACCGTCAAATACAAGAAATTATATTTAAAAAAATTCATAAAATACACGCGTGTCAATTTTTATTTAATATTTTTTAATCGGACACGTTTTCGGCGTGTCCGACACGTGTCGGACGAGTGTTGTGTCGGATACGGTGTCGGACACTGCACGCCTCTTTGAAGAGAAGTGTCGGTGCATCATAGGTCATGATTGATATATACATTTTATATGCACTAGAATGATGCAATGAGTTGAACAGAGCATAACATCACTTGTTATAATGTTATATATGTTGTGAAATATGTGTATGTAAGAAATTCTAGCTAGAAATAATTGGCTGATTTAGGTTGGTTGGATATATGTTATCATGTATAGGTGGATGGGTCGACGGATTTTTCTTTAAAAGAAGCTTTGTGATGTAATCCTAAATTATATGAAAATGGAGTCATAAGGAGACAGATTGATATGATATGATATACGAACGTGTAAGAAGTGACGACTTCTGATATGAAAGTTATGACCTAAATGATTTGTGATATGATTGATTCATGGAAATATAACTGATATGATTGAGACTGATTATTGTAGAGTTGACCTATTGGATTAGATACAGGAAAAATATCATAGATAACTGGATGCCTTATTTTGCTTACAGTGCTTGTGTATGTATATGAAAGGAATATATATTTGATAAATTGAATAATTGACCTGACATGATTTGCATAAGATATAGGCTATGATTAATACAAGTATCTGATAAGACTGATAAAATTGGTTCAAAGACTTTTGATATATATGAATCACATGATTTGCATGATATACATACATAACATAAATATTGTACGACAATCATATGATAATGCTAGGTATACTGATGTAATAAGATGTTATATAAACTATTTTGTAACAGCTGGGTATAAGATTTACATAACTTATTGATCACTATTCACTTAATTATTGATCACTAATTATGAATTGTATTACTTACACTAATTTTATTACTAATAAAATATGAAACTGATCGCATTGACTGCCATGTCTTTTACAGTATGTGTTAATAATTATATTGACTGATGATTAAATACATACTTTTTCTAGTGTTTTGTATTGATTTTAATTATAGGTTTTGGTAATCTACTGAGTAGTTAGCTCACTATGTGGTTTTACATGTTTTTAGGAATGGGTTAGGATCCAGTGGAGTGAGGACAGATCAAGGATTCATGTTTCATTTTGTTTATGTATTTTTTTTTTTCATTTTTTTATAGTTAGGAGTTTAGAAAGTTGAAATGATTGTAATGATTGATCTTCTGGCTTTTATAGATAAATTTTGAGGAATGAAGATGATTTTATATTTTGATGTATATGATTTTTAGTTGATTCCATCAGATTGATTTTTTATTGATAAATTTATAGAAGTTAAGGTTGATTAATTAAGAGATTAAAATAGACAATTCTTTCAAAATTTGATCTTGGGATGTTACATTATCTCTCCATGTATGTTAGTAGCTCCTATTGGCAAGCATTATCTCCAATCTTCTTGAGAGTTAAAAATTCCACGTTTGATTGAATTCAATTAAACGTGATGATGGTTACGCTTTACCCCACGTAGTGGGACAAAGACTTGTTGTTGTTGTTGTATTGAATTCAATTTTTTCCTTCTCCTTTGAGAGGTTCCTTACTTGACTGTAGCCAATGAAGATTCTCTACTTGGAAGTTCCTTACTTGATGATGGTTATGCTTTTCTTTGTATTTTTATTGGGTCTTCTATAATTGCTTCTCCGTCAATGCATGAATTTTGCATATGCTTTCTTGAAATTTTTTAGCTATTTTTTGATCCATGTCAACCCCACCATCAATATAAAGTGCTGGAGAAGTGAAGATCAAATTGAATATGTGGCAGGAACCCAATAAAGACATCAAATAGCATCTTTCTTGTGGACAAGTTTATGACACTATTGAAGGCATAGCAAGCTGAATCCCAAGTTTTGTGTTTTAGCAATGATCACATAATTAACTTCCTTAATGCATTTTGTTTTTAGGTGTCGAATTTGTTGCTTTATTTGGCTTTTAGGAAGGAGTCCCGTACCCTTTAACAGGTTATCAAGGCTCATCCTTTCTACCTTGATTTTTTTTTTTGCTCTATGGCCAATGTTGCTCTATGGCCAATGCTATGGTATTAATCTGGTTTGGGTGCAAAATAGGAAAAATGTGGAGTTCATTAGTGATAGGGAAAAGCCTAATGGTGTACTTCATAAGCACTTGTACGTTCCGACGATTAACTCTCAAAATAACAATTTCTCTCTAGATTTTGTGGTGCAATCATGCACATACTATCCTTGATGTTGTCTCAGACTATGCTATTTCCTCTCTCGATCCTCAACTTAACCCAGCAAGTAGGACTCAAGACATAAGAATCACATAACCTGGTTCCAAGTCATCTTATAATGACCATTTTTTCTTGAGTGGAAATTTAATCAAGCTAAAACTTGATGGATTAATTTATCTAAGGCAAACACAGACTTTGCCATGTGTATTATGCTCATGCAAAATGAAGTAAGATTCTAGTCGATCAAACCACACACAAAGTTAATGTATTGCTCTGCTTCAACTATCCTATCATATGTAGGAATTTGCGCTTTGACTTTCACTTTGAAAGGTCTAGTCCTTTTCTCATTCATTACCATGGCTTTAAAAAATTTGTTCAAGTTTATTCAATTATTCAAATAAACAAATATAATGAGCCTCATAGAGTATTAAACCAATCAGTGGAGTTTATTGGGTTTGTGGTTCTAAGCCAATTCTCCATAGTCAGAGGTGATAATATATAGTAGCTTGGCTTAGGCCTTGTGAACCATGTAAGTTTTATAACTATGTGATTATTCCTATTGAAACACCAAATTAATTTGTGCTGTTGCATTTTAGCTTCAAGAGAGAGAATCTGTGTTTAAGATTTACAAAATTCACTGAGTTTTTGGTTTCTATGTACTTAGTGAGTAGTTTTGCAAGCTATATGATGACAATATATTTTGATATATTCTCTAGATTGGATCAAGGCCAACTCAGTCTAATATAGACCTGGGCATGGATTGTTAAATTTGATCGAGGAAATATTCATTCTAATATTGACTATAGACCTAGCTCATTAAGGATTTAATCCGATCTGTATTGGAGGTGGAGAAGGCCTGTAGTTTTGGTTAAGTAAAAAATATCACTGATTTCAATCTTGGACTTAAATTCTTAGGCCAATTGACTAACGAAACATCTATACTTGCTACATGTATGCATGGTAACGTATATTACATACTTTTCATGGCTGCATTTATAGTTTGTGTGGTTCAATCAAAACTTGGCAGGATCCATCCTAGGCTTGACTTGGTAGTTTAGTCTTTCATTTCAATCTAGATCCAATTGAAGTGAAAAACACAATCCAAGTTCTTATTTGACTTTTAGGTTTCGTTTGGGACGGCTTTTTATTACTTTTTGAAACAGGTTTTTAGTTTAAAAATTAAAATTTTTTTATACTAGAAAGTTGCTTTAAGAAGCAGTAAGAAAGCCGTCCCAAAAGAAGCCTTAATCTTTAGAATAAATACAATTTATTTCTTTCTACTATTGTTATTTTACCTTGATGTTTAATATTGTCTATGTTATTTTAGAGTATAGCTTCTGCGTACGCCATATTCATCTTTGATTCCTTCATAGTTTTCTTTTTTGGCCTTTCTTTCTACGCCAGTGCTTATTATTCATAAAATTTATAATTATGTGGGTTTTATGGTCGATAGATTTAAGTAGAACTTAGGAATTTTGTTAGGTTGCAAAATCTCTTAAATCTCGAATTTGATAAAATTAGGATGTGGCCTTGGTTTACTTAATCCAACTCAAAATTCTGGATGAATAAATTCTGCTTGTGGCAGTTTGTAAAGGTTTGACTTTGTAGTACATAGGAACTTAAGAAATTTTCTTATTTACATCCAGACAGTTTTCAAAATTTAACTTGTATTAAGCTGTACTGAAATCCATATAGTTTTCAGGATGTCCAAGATTTACTAAATCTTGATTTGTAGGATATATTTTATCCAGATTTACTGAATCCTATTTGCCTCCAAACATTCCTAATATTAACTTGTTCTGGCTTAATCTTCAACTATATCCTTCTTTTATTATTAGTTAACTCCATTTGCCATACTCCTGTGATAATAATCTAATCAAATGATAACTGTAGGTTTCTGTCATTTGGGTCTAAATTCTTTGTATTTTTCTTGGTTGTGTTTGCAGTCTTAGGCTTCGTTTGGGATGGCTTTTTTATTGCTTCTTAAAGCAGCTTTTTAGTTAAAAAATTAAAATTTATGTAGTAGAAAGCTGCTTTAAGAAGCAATAAGAAAACCGTCCCAAACGAAGCCTTAATATGTCTGCCTTGCAGTAGCCATCGTAATTTAAGTATCACAAGTGGTTTGCTTCTATGTAGGTCATTATTTTGACACATGCTTAATTTCTCTTTAAATTGTATATCATAAAAAAGATATGATGTATGTAGATTTCCTGAATGAATATTTGTGAATTTCGCTGAATTGATTTTTGTTCTTCAATAGTTAAAAATGGTGTTTTTGGATATTGAGATGCAAGGGAATGTGGTTGTCCCTCCTGATCAGCTCGACTCCAAAGGGCTTCTGCTTCGTAAAGGTATAATTCTCCGCCTCCTTGAGGACATTGCCGGCAGGAAAGCATCAAAAGAGCATGGCTACTATATCGCAGTCACTACTCTAAACTCTGTCGCTGAGGGTCGGGTTCAAGAGCTTACAGGCAGCGTCGGCTTCCCAGTTTCCTTCAGATGCATCACCTTGAAGCCTTGCAAGGGCGAGATACTCGTAGGAATTGTCGATAAGGTTCTGAGGCATGGCATATTTCTGAAATCCGGACCAATAGAGAACATTTTTCTGTCAGAAAAGAAGATGCAAGATTACAAATTCATCATGACTGAAGATCCCAGCTTTGTGAATGATAAGCAGCAGTCAAAAATGGAATATGGCTCCAGGGTGAGGTTCAAAGTCCTTGGGATTAAGTGGATGGAATGGGATAGAGGGTTCCAGATGCTTGCAACTCTTGCAGGTGACTTCCTTGGACCTATTTGAGCTTCTGCTTCTGCAGCTGAGCCATTTCTATAGCTTCGTTTGGGACGGCTTTCTTACTGCTTCATAAAGCAGCTTTTCAGTACGAAAATTAAAGCTGCTTTATGAAGCAGTAAGAAAGCCGTCCCAAACGAAACCTATATCGGTGTGCTTCTTATTCAATTCCTCCAACTTTGTTGCAAAATTAAGAACTATTGTTAGCTTAAATAATGTATTTTTTAGCTGGCAAAAAAAAAAAGTTGTCGTTACATCTCAACTCTTGGATTATTCAGATAGCTTTGCTTATAGTGCATCTTTGAGGCTATCTACTGCCAAAACTGATAGGGTATTGAGCAATGATTGAGACGCCATACATATCCTCTTCTCTTCCCATCCTCTGATTAGTTATAAATCTATAATTTAATTTATTAGTATTCACATTTGTCCCCATCTCGAATTATTGAAATGAAGTGACAAATAGAAGGCGTTCATCTTCAATTTCAGTTCCATGTTTAGAATAATGCCAAATTTATATATTGGTTGATAAGTAGTTTTTGAACTAAAATATTTGTGTAGCTCTCTTTGTGTTTTGTCTAAAAAGTGAATGATAGATTATTGATTACCAGTCTGAAATTTTGATTTATGGATATTACACTTTCTATTTGATTTTTTTTCCCCTTACGGGCTTCGTTTGGAATAGTTTTTTTACTATTTAAAATGCCTTCAAATTTTAAAAAGTAGCATGAAAGCTGTACCAAACAAAACTTGGAATTTATGCCTTTGTTTTGTGGCTTTATTTGTGAAGATCTATTAGTAACCAAATCACTCCATGAACACAATTACATTGCAATTAAGGCTTTCTTTGAGATTGGGTTTTTGCTATTTTTTAAAGAGCTTTTTAGTTTTTTTTTTTTTAAATTAGAAAGTTTTGTATTAGAAAACTGTTTTATAAAACAGTAAGAAAAATATCCCAAATGAAGCCTAATAAAGGGATGATACCATAGCTCGATTAGATCATGCTTGTATGGTCAGATACTCTAAATATGTGTTAATGGTCATCAAATAGAATCTTGGCTTTTGATTTTATTATTTTATTATTATAATTAAAAAAAAAATTAATATGCAATTATTTTTTATTTAAGCAAATAAATGAAAAAAAAAAACCATTTGAATTTTCTAATGCTTCTTGGTCTTCATATTCATTGTATACCCATTTGTATTCTCCTATTCATATCTCCTATTTAATTCACATTTATTAAATATTTACTCAATTCCCATCTTCGTATCTCATACACTTTTTTTTCCCCTTCATATTTCCCTTTTCATATCTCCTAAACTTCTTATTCCTCTTCATATTTCCCTCTTTGTGTCCCTTATACTTCTTATTCCTTTTCATATTCTTCTCTTTGTATATCCTACATTTCTTATTTCTCTTCATATTCTCCTCACTGCATCTGCTACACTTATTAGCAGGTTTTCTAGCTTACGACGTGAGGGGGCCAACACGCACACACACACACACACACACACACACTTCGGGTCCGGAAAACTGACTCGTTTACAAAATCGGGCCGAGTTCGGGTTGACCCGGAAACTCGGAAATGACCCGAAATGACCTGGAAAACTCGTCTGTCTACGTTTCCTTCCCTGCCTGCATCGTGGCCCGCCTGCCCGCCTGCCAGCGTGCATCGAGCCATGGAAACTACCCGTGTAGCCTACATGCATGCCCCTGCTGTCCTGCCTACCGTGCCGTTGCGTCAACCGCGCTGTCGTGCCTGCCGAGCCTCGCATGACAGTGTCTGCCGCACATTACTGCTACCCGTTGCTGTTGCTGAACGCCGGCTGCCTGCGATGCCGATGCCGGCTGCCACTACCGAACGCAGGCCGCTGAAGTCGCACGATTTCTGCCATTGTTGAAGCCGAAGAGGGTCGGGTCGAGTTAACCCAAAACCAAAGCAGGTCGGGTTCAGGTTGACCCGAATAGTGCTAGGTCAATTTCAGGTTCAACTCGAACCTGATCCATAACCTAAAATTGACACCCCTATGTTCATGCATCCAACCGAATCCCATCAACCAAGCCTTTGATAGACCTTAGCTGCTCGATCAGTTCACAGACAGCCGCAGCTCTTCCCAACTGTCTACACCACTCGAACTGGCCTCAATCGATGAACACCAACTGACCATACCTCTATCTATCCTGATCATGTCTGTTAAAGTCTAACTAGAGCCAAGCTCCACCCCCTCTGATCCAATCAGATATCCCGATCCGTCAATCTCCCTCACCAGTCGTCGAAAACCCCCAGCCTTCCCATTCATATCCGACTTCCGCCGCCTCCTCAAATCCCAACCTTCCACCTCCATCTGTTGAAGCTCCAATCCACCTTCCAATCCTTCAACCCAGTTGCCATTCACTCCCAATTATACCTTAACTCCCTAACACAATCACATAAGCTCTCTGCAGATGAACACACTATTTCGCTTGCAGACAACAACACCGAGGGTCATTCTACAAGTGATAACAGAAGAATTGCAATAAATGCAAACAATGACAATGCTAGAAGTTTTGTGATGTGTACAACATTTCATTCACAAGAAACTGTAAATGAATTATCATTTACGACACAACTTGCTCACATTTAAAGCTAGTTAACTTATAAATGACCATATTTAATTGTAAGTAATGGTACTAGTGATCACCCTACAAAAACACTCAAAATACATGTAATGAATGTTGTGACAATCCTTCTAATTTAATTGCGGTCAACAACAGTTAACTGATAAGCAAGTGCAACCCGCTTATGAGCAGGGATAGCGAATGTAGCTGCTTACCAACAAACATGTATAGATGATCATACTTCATACATGACACCTATAAGCAATGATGATAAATGTGATACAAGTATGGTAGATCCCCTTCAAGCAAAGGCAGTCGTCATGTAACAAATATAACGATCTTCTTATAACCGATGACATCTATCTTGCAGATACATGTGGTCGTTCCCATGAATACTAGAAGACTTGCAAATGAATGCAGAAACTCACCAGACAACATACAGTGAGACATTATTAATGAATATAGCCCAACTGGTTGCTAACATCAATATGACAATGAATGTGTAATACCTGTTACAAATAATAATATTCCCTACAAACATCAACAATCGCTGACAATGAACGTGTAATACCTACTTACAAATGATAATATTCCTTGTAAACATCAACAAGCAGTGATGATAATATATTTTTTGCAAGGACACTGAGTCCCATGTGAACATAGATACCATGCAATGTGATATTTAGGAGTAAGGATTGAGGATCGCAACAAATATAGGAGGAAACAACAGATGCAAGCGCAAAAGAATCGTTGTAGAAAACTCTCTTAGTTAACGGCCACGCTTAGAAGAAGCACACCTATTTTATATTGGACTTAAAGGTTTTATTGATCAAGTACATCTAAGTCCTCCAATTGACAACTCTAGAGACTCTGATAGTGATAGTTGGGATAAAAAAAAAACTTGGTGTAAGGAGAAAGCCCGCCGGCATGATACCAAAGAAGGTCCTAATTATGACACTAAGCATACAATATTGAATGATTCTTTACAGTAAAAAATGATGAGTTAAAAGATGTTGGTAGATGAGTTCTAAATATAGGTTGGATCAAAGCATGCTTAAAAGATGAATACCCCATTTGTGAAGGAAATTATGAGATAACTTATGATATACATTGATGCTTTAATGTCCCAAAAAGTGGAATGATTCGTGCAATGCAAAAGTCTCCAAAAGTTTTCAACCAACTAACTTTAGACTTCAATGATTTCATCGAACCCTTCCATAAATGCAACTTGAAAAATCTTACAATTGAAGCTGGAGGTCAAGTTTTAGGCAAGTGTGAGTTATAGAACTTGAGCTCGAGCTTCTTTTATGGAGCTACTAGCAATATTAATTATCTATTCTATTAAACCTCCAAAGTATTATAATCCCTTGAAAATTGACATAGTATTACAACAGAGGTTTGAGATTTCTAAGGCATTAGCTCTGAAGGCATGAAATGTTGTTACCTATATATTATTCCACAATACTATTTCTGCCGATGATCTGCAAATGTTGTATAAAAGTGACCTGCTAAAACATGCCATCGGATCCGCAACAGTCGTATGAAAGAACAGAAGGCATTTACAAGCCCTTAAATACAAAAATTGTGCATTTTCCAAATGATCAACAGCTGCAAAAATAATTATAGTTGAATAATATGGAAAAACCCTCTCACACATTAAAAAATACATTGATATGTATTTCATAATATGCATACATTTTTAGGATGTGGAGGGTTTCATTCAAGCATATCATTCGATATTATAATTGCATTTTAAAATGGCTACCCGCGTACATTTGTAAGATGCAGATGGCTTCATCCAAGCATGTCATTCGCTATTGAAATTGCATTTTAAAATGATTTCTTGTATGCATTTGTAAGTTGCATAGGGTTTCATTCAAGAATGCCATTAAATATTGCATTTAATTACAAATATGACATACATGTGCAGCCGAGTGTCCTCCTGCGTATATTTACAAGATGTAGAGGGTTTCATTCTAGTAATATCATGCAATATTCTATTTACATGTAAAACATACCACACACTGCAACAACATAATGTGTAATAGCAAAATGCAAAATACATAGGCCAATATACATGATAAATGCATATGCATAGTATACATCCATTGCATATGTATAATAATCATATAAATGTATTATGTAAAATACATGTAATAATATATATCTGCATGAGCTTTGATGAGCATGTTATTGGTACAAACATGACATCTGAGGATATAACATGGATTAAGAAATGAATTTAGATTCAAACCCCATCCTTTAGAGGCAAGTAAATAGATTTAACAAAGTTCAACAAAAAAATGAAATTGCCACTAAATACCATGATGATGGCCGTGTTGATATAAAATCTCAATTAAGAGGGGACCCCAAATAATAAAAAATACATCCAAAATTTCATGAAATACACTCAATGATATCAATATTTAAAATTAAAATAAATCACCAAGATACTTAAAGAGAAAATACCCATCCATCATCTGTAACAATTTATCGAGGTGGGCAAATCAAAAAATCATTTCAACTCACAAAGAGCAAATATATGGTCAAGAATACCACTAGGATTCATTTTTAATCTCTCTCTTATCAATAAGGATGTGACACATGTACTCTAACGGGTGGTTTCATCGTTAAGTGGCATCACATGTAAATGGTTATGATTGGGACCATTTGACCGGGTGAGTTTGATGCTAAATTGCACCATTAAATTACAGCCATTAAAGCCTATATGTTTCCCAATGGCATTAAATCATTGAAAAATGAATCAATAGG